GCACGCGGCCAAGGGGACACGACACAAACCAAACGCAGATCTGTACCAAGACTTGGCAGTGACGTGCCACACGCACGCGAGCAAGTTGCTGCAAATGAAATGTAGACTGGGCCGTTTCAAATGAAGGGCTGGCCAATCCCAATCCAGACTTCTAATAGAGAAACTACAACAAAGGGGAACCTTTTTCATAACCCAAGGCAAGGAGTCAGGGCTGCCTTTGACCGCCCAGCTAGAAAAAAAAGACCCTTACAATGCTGGTCGAAAGACCAATTCTGCTAATTCGAAGAACATGCTGCGGCAGAGATGAGAGGTCTGGATAGCGTCATATTCCGGCAATAACTACTCCATGCATTTAGAGACTGTCCACATCTAAGTCCAAAGTCCAGGACACTAGCGCATGAACGGAATAAAGAAGCATCACCCTTGCGAATGGAACAAAAACCAACAACAACAACATCTGTGTTTCTCAAAACAGGGGTTAGGTGGTTTCCTTTGGCGTCCTATCAAACACAACCCAGGATTTCCCTCAAAAAAAAGAGCGGCACACCCGTATGGAGGGAACCCAGAACCCCAGGTCCTTCCTTGTGATTAAAATTCGAGGCTGCGGCTGTGGTGCCTGGGGGCGCACAGGCCTCCGGCTGGCTCGAAAGTCACCGCCCTCTTGCGGGTGTGCGATGGGCATAGGGCAAAATCAAAACAGGAATTGGACCACAGGTTTAGTCCGTGTTTCCGTTCTAAAAGGGAAACCCATCCTGGGTAAATATGTTTTTGACCCGCAGCCCAATCTTGTTCTGTTTTGCCTACTTTGTTCATTTGTTTGGTATGCGTGTTTGGCTTTCTCAAGGTGGCTTGGTCTGAAGCCCAACACATCAGAAAAAAGACAGGGAGCTTGAGCAACCCGACCAACCCTGCGTGTTTGGGGCAAACAACCTTTTTGCAGAAGGTTAAAGGATGGTTCAGAACAGAGGTGCTGGCCAATCCAGCTGTCCAAGTCCTTCAAGCAAGCACATGAGTTGGCGAGTGCTGCGGCAAGCCAGGCACCCAGTTGCTCAAGCCTCCGTTGCTAGGCGAATCATCCGCAATTCACCAGATAGAAATGCAGAATGTCGTTGTCAAACCAAAACACTGGTGAAGCTGTGCGGGGTTACCATTTCCTTAGGGCTGAGCCAGCCTGTGCTTGCAGAAGTGGCGGTTTTGCCACGTCTTCTAGGAACAAAAAAGGTAGGCCTACTAGCAAAGCGGGGATTGTCCAAAATAAGAGTGGCAATCAACAGATAGAATCTTGTGCAAAAGGTCACCACTCTCAAGCCGAGGTGTCCATCTGGAAACATAGGTGGCAGAGGTACATGATTAGAACCGAACTGAAGCCAGTACACAAATGAATGTGCAATCAAATTGAACCAACCACCAGGCTGGGCTTTCCCAAATGGGTGGTATCCCATTTCTGCCCCTCTATAACAGACGCAAAACGGGTTCCCTCAAAAAGTAGCCAAGTGACATCCCCGACGGCAACCTCTAGAACCCTTCCAGAACCCAACTTCGGAATCTGGGCCTATCGACCCCAAAGCTTGCTGTCGGAACCCTGAACAAACATCCTGCCACAAAGCCCCTTCTATTGGGGCACGGGGCGTGGGGATCGTTGGAGCGTGACTTCCAATCACCAAACTTCCCCCAAATTCCAGTTGCCTTTTTCCTGTTTTGGGGGGATGAGTGTCCCTTTACGGGCAACCAACGAAACGGGTGTCCTAAAACCGACTTCGTTCAGACTGCAAGGTACCTGAACCAACCGCGCGCTTGCCTTGGCGCCGGCGACCCAGCCCTCGCCAGCTTCACGCCCGCTGTCCCCAGTCCTGGAGAGAATATGTACATGAGCCATATATGTGTATATATATATATATATGTATGGTCGCCCCCCCCATGAACTATATATATATATATATGCATTTGTATATATATATATAATGTATATATGCATGCATATATGTGTATAGACAGATATACACATATATACACACGTATACATGAGTATTTACATATATACATATATATATATATACACATATATACACATTCATGTTGGTGTGTCTTTTTTTGGGTACGCGGATTTGGTTGAGTTCCCGGGAAACCAACAAGATATCCACCTATTTTTAGGCTCCCTAATTTAAGACACACCCTCGTATACTGTGTGTTTTTCAAGGATACCTTTTTATAAAGATCTAAAGGGAGGTCAGAGGAAAACCACAGTCATTGGAGCCCTCTTGACACATACCTATACATACAATATATATATATATACATATATGTTATGGCTACATGCAGGTCAGCTATATCTCGTGAACTATTGAAATATATTGTTCAAATTGTATGTGCGTAATAGATTACAATAGTTTACGAGAGATAGACTACACCAGCTTGCCAGCTTCAGCGTAGCAAGGGGTCTTCAAGCAGGTGAGAAGTGCTTTGGATATGGGTCTCCGTCTGCGTGATTGCATACCCCGCCGAATAGTGCATATCGGTTTCCTCTTGCAACAAGCCTTCAATGGCCATGGGGAACTTGGCAGCCATTTCGTTGTGCCGATGTCCAAGTCCGCCCAAAAAAGTTCGACACTCAGAAATGAATCTCAACGAGGCCGCAAGTGCCATGCAGAATGTGTGTCCGAGTCTTCATGTCAATTTGGTGCTGTCCTGTTGAATCATGCACGCACCACATACACAGCCACGCACACACACACACACACACACACGCACGCTTAAACTCTCAGAGGTGTGACGTGACTAATTCAGTTCGAGTGGCTCTCTCGAGCGGGTTGCATCAACTGGTGGCTTCCCTCTAGGGTCGAAACGTCACCAGTTTAACATGATGCACACACAGCGAGAGGAACAAAGGGCCAAAAAGAGTTTGAATCATTGCCAGACAACAGAGGAGCGTCCCACCGCGCTACGGATGCATCACTGGTGTCTTCATTGGTGCCAGTAACTCGGCACACACACACACATACACATGCCCACACACAAACACAAGCACCAATCCACACACAAACAGAAACACCATGTTTGAAGTTCAGCTATGGAAATGATCCGTTGCCGTGTCTAACACCCAGGGGTCTTGCAGAACCTGCAAGCAAGGCCTTGGTTCTATAGCCAGAAAAACAGACGCTACCTCCGATGCCATCAGGCTCGGCAGCCCTCCACCAATTTATGTCACCGTAGCTGCCAGTGGCTCCTCTGAGAAAAGCAGAAGGCATGGCGTAAAATTTAGAAGCAAACTGAACCATTGCCATTCTAGATTCAATCAAACTGACTAAAGCAGGGCAAACTCTCTCTATATACACATGTATATATATATATACACACACTATAACTTGCAAACCGGAAGTACGGCATCCCCAAGCAATTGAGAGATATTCATGGGTTTTCGTTCCCCAATCGGTGAGCTCGTTGAAATGAGTGGAACCCGCTCGCGGGCTCGGTCCGGAACCAGCACTTCTGTTCGCCCTCCTCGCTGCCCCAAACCTCGGTGCTGAGCCGCCAGGAGTTCTGTAGCATGGTAAGGGTGGCACCCCATGCTACCATCAAAGTCCGGGCAGATAGGGATACCACCAGCAAGTTTCTGACTTTGACCCCCAGAACCCGGTCACTGGCAGTTGCGAAATCCAGAGTCATCAAAACTGGGGACAAATATGGACCAAAAACATGGCAAAGAGGTACCAAGGCGGCCGCACCTTTTATGGTTGGGAGTGTCCCTTACTAGGGCTCGAGGCACCCCTGGTCGGAAAGCTCGGCCCCAAAGCAATAATCTCAGGCTTGGTTCAATTGCCCGATGGACCAATAGGATCCAATAGGTTTACCTTTACAGCTACATATACCAAAGGCGAACACACCGAGTTTAAACAAGAGAGTACCCGCGTTTCCGGCGTTGAAACTCCAAACAAGCGGCCGCAACAAACAGACCTTGAAACAGGCGAGAAGTCCTGGCAAAATCGATGGCTCGTTCTACCGCACGTGCCATGGTCCAAACCTGGGGTCGTTCTGAGTAACCCAAAACACAAGGGTTGATGCTTCTAAAAAAAAAAAAACGTAACCAAGCATCCCTTTGCTCAACAAGTATTTCGATCACTGTGTGGCCATGACACGCTACGCATCAATGAAGTGGGGCGTCGACCAGCCCATTCCGAATTCCGGGCCGCGGGCCCAGAACTTGCACTCCGGCAGGGAGAAGCAAACCTCGCGCTATGCTCTGCTCTCTCAGTAGATACTTTCGCTACTTTCGCACTCTGCGAAGTCCTGGAGGTATCTTCCATAATGCAAGGGGCTACAACACATCGTCCGCTATTCTGCCACTGTGGATGGTTGCGCTCCAGTTCGCACCACTTTCAAACCATCGTTGCAACCATTGTTAGTTGGTATTTACAGGGGAATCATCAGAAACCAGGGTTTTGTAGGTGGGGCAGGATTGTGTCCATCCACGGTATGTCCAACACGTACGACACATGGTCGCTTCCCTTCCTATTCAACGGATCTTCAGTGTCCCTCTATTTGGTGGTTTGGATTGGTGGTTTTGCGGTTGGGGGTGGTTTCCAATTAAAACTTTAGAATCGGAGGTTCACATCTCCAAACCAATTCACAGTTACCTGCGATCTAGGAACAAAACAACTTGTCCGCAACTTTGGGAACTGAGCAAGGGAAGCAAATGTTTCTGACTTGAAGCACACCTGACAGCACCTCTTGGTTAGGCGTCTGTTTTGAGAAAGGACCTCCGTGCATAGGGCGGGTTGGCCAGGCAAACGTGGAAACAGGCTCCAAGATGAAACAGGAAGCTCAGCAAATTCTTACGCCGGACGCCCACGGTTGGTTTCCTTTGGGCTTCAAGCATGGCTGAAGAGCCTCATTTGGTCCCATTTCCACCAACTGGACAACCTTGAGGCTTGGAAGCTACAATTCCCACACTTCTTTTGGCGGTTGGAACCATCCAAAGACCCTGCTGCTAAACGTCGGGTCTCTTAAGGGCCTATGAGACCAGTGCGAAAGGTGGTCGCCAAGCGCGCCTTCGCGCAGGACTCAATCTCGCTGGCGACAAACCTCGTGGCAATGGACGAAACCCTGAGGGAAACGTGTCAAGAGCTCCTGGCTCCCCAACAAAATCCAGGGCCTGACTCTCATAGTCATGACTAACACACATTGGTTTGTGGTAGCCCAAACCCTCATTCTAATTGGTTAGCCTCTGTTCTTGCCGTCCCCAAACGGTCCAGCCGTTTCGACATGGCCTTCGATGCTTTTCTGGCTGACTCAAATGAGTATTTTGCTAGCAAAAGCCCTCTCCACAGCTCGAGATCGGCATCCGAACGGCTTGAGATCGGCATGACCCAAAACAGCGCACACTCCAGCACAGTTCTCTGCTGGCAGAAAACGCAATGCTTACGCGAACTTGGCGGGATAGGCAAAGCACACAGTATTTTGCGCCACCCTTCCGTCCACCAAACAGACGCAGAACCAAACAAACAACAAGCTGACATCCTACGACCAGTTCAGTTCAGGATTCTGAATTATGTGCAGCAGCATTGGGATGTGATCCTGAATCCGGTATTGCGATAAACATATCTACCTTCCGTCGTCCATCAATGATGCAACACAAGAAGGTTCCAAGCGGCCTGTTAAGCTGGCAATCATGGAGCATCAAATGTTCTTAGCTAGGCAAAAGTCATCTCATGACACACAAATCCAAACATGACAAGCAAAGAAATCGTCAAGCAAGCAAAGCGACGGCTGCAACAATGGTCTGTCGAAGCCAAGCCAAACACACGGAGAAACAACACCGCCCACGCAAGCTACCAATCAAGAACATGAGAAGCACATGAACGAACAAACAAAAACTCGCCCAATCAAGCCAGCAAAGAAGAAAGAGCAGACACAAAAACAGGCAAAGCAGCAAACAAAAAGCAACACCGAACATAGACACATACAGAAGTAAACTATACAACGGTGAAACAATAAAAACAATGAACCATACATACAAGCAACACGTCGACGACAACGCGCCACGATCCCAGTAGGATGCTGCTTCCCAACTTCTGTGGGAGCAAACGTGAAGCAGGGAAACACAAAGGAGGCTGTGCAACACCAATATATTAAAGCATATGGACCCCAACTTGTTTAGCTTAGTCACTTGTCTCAGCATTCGGGACACCAACAAAATGGAGCTCCCTTTTTGAGATACGCTCGGTTCCCTGACATACAGCTGACCTTTGCAACCCTTGGCAGCAACTAAACTGACTGTCTTTTGCCCTCTAAACATGAAGAAAACCAAAACACCCAAAACAACTAGAAACTCGCCAACAACAGTGAAGTGACAACACTGTCTACCATGCTTCCGGTTTGCAGCCATGGCATGCGGGCTCCAAAGCACTTGGGTCCCAACTTGTCTGAGCTCATGCAGTCGTCCAGGAAGCAGCCAATGGTCGCACCGTAGCCCTCAAAAGGCTCCGGAGAACTCAGCTGAAAAGGTTTGTCCTATGCACACCAGCGACATGTATATGGGATTGTCTTTTTGTGAGTACCCTTGTTGGGACTAGTTTTACAGGGCAAACCAAAGGAACCCACTCATGTTTTGGGGCCCACCACTTTGCGACAGACCCATATATATGTTGGGTGCGTCTTCAAAACAGACCCCTCTATGTGGTTCCTGCTTCCCATGTCCTCACCAAACGATGGACGACCTCCAGTGTTGATGTTTGAGGGGGTGCGCGAATGGGAGCACAAGCCATGCTAACAAAAAGTTAGTTCATAGGACAACAGTTGGATTTGGCTGTGTGTCAACTAAGGAAGCCCGTCATGTTGGGATTGCGATACAAGGAAGCCGGCTTTTCCACAGCAAGTTCAATGGTGTGTCTGAAGGTGTTCAGGAACAAGGCTTTGCTTCTACGTCAAACCATAATTACAATATAGAGCCTTGGACGGCAGAAAACCTTGTTGAGTCGATGTCAGCCACCAACAACATGTTATGTTTCCCAAGGAGATGCGTGAATTAAAGTGGATGGTCCTCGTCAAGTTAGAAGCGGTCGAACTAGGCCAAACTAGTTGTGACGCGTCTGATGTTTGTGTGCGTATTTGAGGCTACACGGAGAAGGAAAACCTGACTCCTAGTGTGACCCATACCTGACTGCCAGATGTTGCCTCGCAGAAAGAATATGGTGTTTTCGCCTATCCGGGCAAAGTTGCTTTCAGCAACCAGCCCATGGCCGGAGTAAGGGGCACACAATGTTGGCTGTTAAATGTGTGTTGTTTTTTGAAGCGGGCCCTTGTTCCTGTTTGCTTACCATTGCCCAGTGGATCGCAGTTGCCCATACAGTAGGTAACCAGCTATGTTCCTTTTGGTTTTGAAAGGGTGGTTTCCTTCGTTACCTAGGAAAACCGCTCGAATCAAACTCCGTCCCAGATTCTCGAGTGCAAGTAGGACACGGCAAAGGCGTCAAATTTGAGGCCGGCAAACAACAACTCATGGATCACGGCTTGCAGTCATAAACTGATACGAAATGACGCTGACGCTTCAGACAGTGGCAGCCGCAGTTGTTTGATCCGAACTGCGAGGCTCGCCGGTCTTGTAATAAATCAAGTTCTGTAGTCTTTAAGGTCGCTATGTGCGGCTGGTACCTTCAGTAACAGTGGCTTCAACATGTCAGGCTTGCCGAATTTTGCAAGAGATGGCACTGGAACCAACCCTGCAACCGGTGGAATTCATGTTCAACCAAAACCTGCGACCAGAAAGGGACACACAACAAAAAAGCGTCCCCCCAAAACGGGCGGCGTCCAGTTGTTGTCAAAAGGGTCATACAAATGTGTACTTGCTTGTTCTCAGAAGGGACTTTGAAGAGCTTCTGGAATGAACCTAGAGATTCCCTCGAATCAAACTATAAAGGATGGTTTGTAGGGCTCATTCCCTCATACTGGACATTACATGGACCTGATTCTGGTTTAGTTCAAAAAGCGGGGGACATGTTGTTGCTTAACAAACAAAACCTCGGGGCCTTTTTCGGCCAGACTTATGCAAGCTTAAGCGCCTGCAAGTTGGTGAAGAGCGCCTGCCCCGCGTTTCGGATCACCGTGTTTTGCTCCTGGTCGGGAGAGAAACTGAGGAAACTCGGCGAGACCTGGCTGTGCTTTTAGGGAACCTGTACCTACCCCTTTAAGAAAACTAAAAGGACACCATTGCCACATGGGCGCTGCCCAAAGGACGTGTGAAGCTCATCAGTATGCATGTTTTCTTCAGAAACGGCAACAGATTTACCATTGCCTCCCTCAGACCAACAAAGGGAGTTGACATCCTTGTAAAGAAAACAAAAGCGTACCCGAACACGTGGCTGGAGTGGCTGCCCCGCTGAGCTCGGGAAAACTCCGCCGTTCAGAAACTCCGGGAAAGTGAGAAATGCCAACAGAAATCATCTGCTTTGGCCGACGTAGCATAATTTCCAGACTGACAGACCATGAGCATCTATCTTTAGGGCCTTGGAACCGGATGTCCAAAACCTGGTCCAAGCGACCTTTATGTGTAGGGGAAAGCAAACACCTCTGAGCTCCTCAAAGGACCCAAAGCCAAGTTGTACGGCCGACTAGTCCTCAAACCTTCGCAGGATCATGTGACCAGTATCTTGGCATTCACCCGCCAAGCGAATCTGAACAGGAAAGCCCTTAATGGCAAACCTCACCACATCTGGTCGACTCTTCGGGAAACTGCTATGAAAACCCGCGGCTCCTCCAGTGTTGACTGGCCAGGAAGCTCGAAAATGTTTCTCGGGTCTTACCAAAAGCGACGATCTGGCAACATGTCGATTTGAAATCCAACTCAGGCAAAGGCCCAGCCAGTTGGTGGTCTTTGACTGGTCGTTGCGGCTTCGGCCCAGCTGTCCCGGATGTTTGCCGCAAACACCCCAACCGCAGCGTTAACAAAAACACTTCGAGTATGAAATTATGTCATTCAGCCGTTTGCAACAGTATGTTTGTTGTTGTTTAAAGGGTGCCTTTTGTTTGGCGGTTTAACTGGACACCAAAAGGACACCCAGCAATTTTGGCCTTGTTTGCAGACAGACCGAAGCAAAGCCGTTTGGTGCCTGGCAAGCCGGCCAAGTCTGAGCCGCAGCCAGAGGCAGTGGCAGCAACCTGCAAAACCATCCGATCCGAAGGAACCTACTCAGATGGTCTGGGAAGAATCGTTAAGTGGTTAGCAAGCCTGGTTGTAACCCACCAAAGGCATTGCTGTAATTCCCCCGTAACCAGGGATACCGGGACACTAGCCATTTAGTTAAGTCCAAGATGATCTAAGAATCTAAGTAGAGGCGCCAAAATGGCGGAACCTGGAAAGCTGCCCAAATTTATGTTCATTCAAAGGAATCTCTTCATGGGTGACCCCTTCTGATTCTGGGGTTCTGTGCTGATTTTAAAGCATAAGCAGGTTTAACCCCAACATCAGCTAGGCTCGCGGCCAGGAGTGAGGTGACCCGGGATGTCTTTCTGGGCTTTGAACGGATTCCGTTGGTCACCATATCTGTAGTGGTAGCTGGAAGGCTCGGGTCACTCAACTCACACCCTGGTAAGCACCACATTCCAGCAGCATGGCATGTTTCGTCTTTTGGTTATGCCTTGAAAATGGTGCTTCAAAGGGCTCCAATCATTTTGAGACCATAGGACATTTACCGAATCCATTTTGGGCCCTTGGTTGGTTTCCCGTTAAACCATCGGGGTGTCAAAAAAGGGGGACCCCACAAATGTTTTCCTTTCGATGTCGCTCTAGGTCCTCCAGTAGCGAGGTCAGAATAAGGGTACGTTTTTTTTCTGTTGTCTATTTCAGTAGGGGAACCCTCCCCAAAAAAAGGGGAGAGAAGGGCACTACTGGGGACCTAGCCCTTCAAGCCAAACTAAGGCTCAGCCCCTTGCCACATGGCTTTTCGCCAGTCTCCTTCAAGCCCGACGCCCGGCACCGGCCTGAGAAGGAACTTCATAGCTCCTAGCCGGGCCCAAAGGAATATGAAAACCGTGTTTTATGGCAAAAGCCACCAGACATCAGGTGCTTTTTGTCATCCTTTTAGTAAAATGAGTGAACGTGTGGGGGTCCCTTCCACAAAAGCTTCGGCCAAGCTTCCGCGCTGAAGGGTACCTTCCGCAAAACATTGTTTGATATAAGTGCTTCACCCTCGCCAACGCAAACACAACAGCATATATTCAAACATGACAAAGGCAACTGGACAACTTCCACAGCAAAAACAACAACTTCCGCAAACCTTCTGCGGCTGCGGTACTTAAGTTTTACCACATGCCTGCCTCTAGCCATTGTTGCTTGACCAGGCAAGCAGTGTAATATATATATATGTATATATAATACATGTATATATATATATACACATGCTCCAGGCCGTGGACCCTACCCTTGGGGGGGGGGGGGTGGCCTGGGGACTGGAACACATATATATATATATATACAAATTGTCTTTACGTAACATGCAGTTTCTTGTTCCCGGAAATGCCATCCCCGCTGATCGCGGAGCCTTCGCGGGGCTATGTTCACATCATTCAGCACAATCTGATTCGCGCCCGTTGACAAACAATGCTGAGCTACCCCAACATTGCGAGTGTCAGGTCAAGCTAACAACGCTTGTGCAAAAAAAAAAAAAAGGACCGGACCTGCCGACCAACTGTTGCCAAATTCGGCAGCAAGCAACCGTGGGTTCCGAAGGTGCAAGATGCGGCAAAGCAGGCTTGCTTCGACTAAGTCCGGAATCCTGAAGCAGTTCTTAGCGCTTGGAATTGACCCAAAACAACTAGAAACCCGTGTTTTCTCAGGATCCCCCTCCGTTCAACCTGTTAAGTCTCTCAAAGTTTGGCAGAAACATGACGGCGATATAGCAAGCAGTCTCTCTGATGATTTACAAACTATTCCCTAGCTCTTCAAGACTCTTTCTGAGGGACATGCCAAAATATATGAACTATGCTGCCGACAATCTGTTCAGCAAACCATCAAACTACGTTTACAAGAAACTATAGCGACGAAGCAACAGCATCTCTGAGTCATTGTGCTGCTTAGAAAGACAAGCCGTTGTCAGGATGCATTGTTGCAAACATCAGTTCATGTGCATTGACCATACCGGTGGTGCACAGAACCATGTTGGGTTGCTCCATCACCAGGTTGGGATCATGCTAAAGAGATCTATGTTTCTCAAAATGGGGCACCCCATTTTGGTCGGTATTTAAGGGACACTAACCACCTTCGGGGATGTTCCTTGGAGAAACCCCCCAGATTGTGCTCCACCCGTGACACTTGCGTCGTTGTGGCTAAAGAACCACTGTTCACTTCAAAGCGAGCCGATGCGCAGCTTGGTCAAACAAAGTAGCGGCCATGTCGTGTTGTTGCAAGGTTCCTCATCTCCTCTCTTGCACAAGGGCCCCAAACACTTCTAGCAGCATCATTCTTAGACAGCTTCCTGGTGTCATTGAACAAAGCCATACTGTGGATGGCCCGAATCCTGCACCACCCATAAGAAACCCTGTTTCTGATGATTCGCCTGAAAATACCAACAACCAATGGTAGCCCATGGATTCAAAGTGGTGCAGGATTTCGTCCATCCACAGCACCATCAACTGAATCAACACTCGTCTCTGCACTCCTCACGCGTGGCTTAGAAGGCGCCAGGGGCTAAAGTCGGCTTGGGCCGGGAAAGCTTGCGCGACACCGCTTCTGGAGGGTAACTCATGGGCCCGGGTCCCCAAAAGCAACATCTGTCAACTGTTCCAACAATTCATGGTCAATGACACAATAGTCTGCAGCGTAGGACACTGGAACAGATGTGTCCAGCTCATTCTTAGATGCTTGCTTTGCATGTTTAGTATGATATTGCTTCTGCCCAGCCGCACATTTCGTGTTTACCAAAACATATTGCTGATTCAGTCCCAAACGAGTTGCGGTCATTATGTGGTCATTCACCTAAGCGACGCTACATGAGCACCACTCGCAACTCGGCCATGATATGAACGCAACGGCGGAGGCAGTCCAACCTTTGATATGTTAGCAAAACACATGCTTTTGCAGCCCACCACTAAACAGGAACAGAACTAAGACAGCTAAACCAACAACTAAACAAGCTAAACAACTAAAACACCTGCCAAGAACGGCGAAGAGTCTTAGCAATTCCCAACTCATGTTCTTTCAGAGTGTCAGGCATGGGCCACGGTTCCGGGCAGGCAAGAGCAGGCAAACTAAAGGCCAAAACAGACGAGGAAAGGTAAGACAAATTATGTCCTGCATTTAAAACACAAACCCATCCACACGCACACATAGGCCACAATCAAAAATAATGACACGAGAGGCTCAAATATCAAGACTTCCAGCATGAAGTCCAAAAGAATCATCGATCACGTGAGCTGAATCGATCCATTTCTGCCCGAGAGCTACTCGAGACAATACCACCACGGCTCGCTGTTAAGAAACACATCTAAAGATCTGCGGATGTTGTTGCAGCCACCGACTTGCCAATGTTGGTTTGCTTTTTGGGGTGGGACATGGAGCCCCGGATGGAACCAAACCAGAAAAAGAGTTCTGAAGGAACCACCTGCTTGAATTAGCTTGATGCGCCAAGTGGGGATGCATGGGGAAGCACTCACTTTGCAAAGTGTCAAAAGGCTCAATGAAGGTCAAACCCAAGGAGCACCCAAGTCCGTGATTGCCAACATGCGATTCACAGCTCAAGACGGCACGGGCGACATCCCGAGGCAATCCGCCTGCGCCAGGCACTTCGTACTTGGCATCCATGGCCTCTGCTCGAGAGCCCTCCCCGAGAGAGGGGAAGGGAGGAAACCTGAGGATCGCTAGAAAACGATCTTACCTTCTTACAACGGCTCTCAGAATCTTCATAGCGAGAATAATAATGCCTCTCCTGATCCGGATCTGTTCGTTCTTTCAGATTCCCTATTCAAGAGACACCTCGCAAAATGCGCGAAATACCCATAACATCAGCCATGAAAGCCTGCAAGCTGTCTCAGCTCGTGTTCCCGGTTTCTGGTGGAGGCAGCCCCAAGCACCTTTTTGGAAAGCCCTAAGGCTCGACTCTTGAAGCGCATGGCTGCGCCCGGTCAAGAACTCCTCTGGCCTTTCACATGGAGAGAAGTACATCTTCTGACTCTTTTCAAATTGGCCTGGCTTCTACCAACCAACAAGCCACTGGACAAAAGGGAGTAGTTGGCAAGTACTGGCACCTTTGCGGACCACCCTTTGGCGGCAGCACAAGATGTCACCAAGGTTCAAAAGAAGGCCATGTTCGACAACTCCAAAACCGTGCAGGAGCAGGGCAAAGCAACATGCTGATAACTCTGCAATGCCTTGTGGCATGGCAAATCCAAAAGTGCAAATCCTGCTGAAAATGGAAATTCTTGCCTAGTGCGGCCATCCAAATTTCAGCCATGGTTTATTGGCAATCACATTACTGCAATACGGTACGTGTTGTTTTAAGATGAGGTCAAAGAAGGCGGTACTAAACGCGGGTCTGGTTTTGGGTGTGGTTCAGAGATATGCTGTGCGTGGCTTTTCGCGACCCCCCTTCCGTGTGTGCCAAATCCGCGTGGTGAGCGCGCGTCCCATAAAGCCTGTGCGATTCTCTTTTGGCTTCTTTGGGGGAGAATTGCTTTCGAGGAAGCTGAGCACCGATAAGGGGTTAGTTGGAAGTCCGATAAAAAGCTCAAAGTGCAAGAACATTTCCGCCCAAACAGGGAGCCATCACCATCGTGCCCCGGAAGATCATGTGCGGGTGTCTCTGTCTCTGTATCTGTGTCTGTGTGCGTGACTGTGTCTGTTTGCGTGACTGTGCAAGGGCGTCTAGGTTTGTTTATGTGTCTCTGTGTGCGCGCATGTGTGTGTGTGTCGGTCAGTGTTTGTGGGTGCATGTGTGTGTGTGTGTGTCCGCTTTGTGAGTGTGCATCTCTGAGAGTCTCTGTGTGTGCGTCCGTGTGTGGCTCTCTCTGTGTCCGAGTTCCCTGCCTTCTTCAAGCCTTCCTTCAAAGTGGCATCCTCCGGAGCCAGCTTTAGGCCCGCCTCAAAGCACGCCAACGCCACTGGCCACATTTCCGTGCTGGGACGGTCCGGGGGAATCGCTAAGTGGTTAGCCAAAGGTCCTGGTTGTAACCCGCCAAAGGCGCTTTTTGTAAGTCCCCTACCAGGGTTACTCACCATTTAGCTTTGTCCAAGACCATCTAAGCAGCCCCCCCACGCAGCCAAAATGTGCCAACAACCTAGTGAGATGGAGGCCGCTTTTCCCTAACCGTTGCAGCTCGAAGTCGAGGCAATGGGTACAAATGTCCAAAGGCACCCTCCAAATGGCTGGCTCTTGGTTTCCGTTTCAAGTGATCAAAACAGCGTGTCCAGTGTCCAGCTCATATTCAGCACATCAGCTTCGAACCAGGGCCATAGGTGATGAGTGGGGGTCATGAGAGATTTCATGGGAGACATAGTCTCTCTTGTTTCTAAGGGTACCTTTGTTTGTGGCTTTTGAAGGGAAACCAACACGATTGCCACCATCTGGGGGGCACCCTAAAAAAGGACCCGCCCACATGTAGTGTGGTTTTGCTTCTTCTCTTTCATCCGAACCCAGTCCTTGCCTTGTAGGTGTCCGCAGCATTGTCATACTTGCTGAGGAAGTACTCCGCCAAACCCTCGCCAGCTAAAAACCCGAAAGCGACACATCTCCACGGATACAGTTGAAACCTTAGGGGTTGATTCCCATTCTTTTCAACTATTGCTCTAACAGTTGATTCCTTCGGTTCTTTGATGGTTTCCTGGAAAAAAAGATCCCGGGAAAGAGTGGGGAAGCTTCGCCTAGATTATTGGTTGATTAATCGGTGAAGCCAAACCGTGAGATATGTAGTTGTGACACCTGTCGTGGCTCACTTTTTGCTGACATGCAGTACCATGAAGACTCCCCTTGCGTTTGCCCCAGCAAAACATCCAGATTCCCATGGTCGTCTGTGGCA